AGGCCTCCCGGTCCAGGCCGGAGCTGGGCACACGGAGCTGGGCACACGCTCGGGGCCTCTGACCCATTCCAGCCCTGGGTATCCTTGAGGGAGATCCCGTCCACCGCAGCCCTGGGCTGGTACCCAGAAACAAGGCTCCGACAGCCCGGCCAGGCACTTTGCCTCCCTGAACCCCAGTCTCATCTCTGAATTGGGGAGGGAGAGCCCCTACCCCGCAGTGTTGCCCGGAAGACTGAGTAAGTGGGTGACGCTTCGCTGGCTCCTGTATACATTCCTGTTAGGAGAGTGAAGTCGCTGGGCCAGGGGTCCGAGGAGAGGGAATGTTTTGCTGACAAACTCGGGGAGCCAGGCCTTGAGCAATGAATCACCACCGGCCGAACAGCCGCTGGCACGGACCCGGCCCCTGCCAACCCCGCGCTTCCCTGGCCACTCGGGCTTGAATCCTCCCAACATCCCCTTGAGTTACCTGCTCTTATTCCTCCCATTTCACAGATGAGGAAACTGAGGCTCAGAGAGGTACATGGCTTGCCCTAAGGCCTCGCAGCCAGTAAGTGGTGGAACCGGGATTCACACTTGAACCTGAGATGCTGTATTGACCATGGCCTCCTCCAGAGCAGGATTGTGACGGGGCTGACCAGGGGACCATGGTCCTGGCTGAGGGCACTGCTCAAGCCAAGGTGGGAAAATTGGGGGGGCGGGGTTGTGCGCCTGGGAACTGGAGTGCTCTAGAGTGTCTGGAGCAAGGGGCATCTGAAGGAAAGGATAGTGAGGGAGGAGGCTCAGCGCAGAGGCCATTCAGGGCCTGGAATGCCAGAGGCTACTGGACCGATGGGGGCGACCCTGGAATTCTGGACTCCCACCTTTTGCTCGAATGGGCTCTGAGTCGAAAGACAGGCCACTTCTGATGAGCCTCCGTTTCCTGATCTGTACCTGGTGAGAGTCCCCGGGCCTCCCTGGCTGGCTCTGAGGGCCGGCCTGGGAGAAACCCCGAAACCTGAAACCCGGCCCCGGAGGCCGGCGGGGGTGGGGGGCCGGAGGGGGCGTGGCAGATCGAGGGCCGGGTTAGGTGGTGGGCGGGGTCAGGGCTTAGCCAATCAGGAGCATCGTGTGTGTGTTTGGCCGGAGGTTCTCTGGCTATTCCTGGTGGCGATGTAGGAGTAAACAGCAGCTAGGTCAGGGGGCGGAGATGGTGGCGGGAGCTGGGAGGCCGTGGAAGGGAGGCCGGAGCTGGGGATCCCCGAGCCCCCAGCTCCTCCCTTTGCACTCTGCCAACCTCAGAGCCGTCTGGACTTGAATCAGCTGGAGGCGGCTGGACACAAGTACTTGTTTCCGTTTGACAGGTGGGGACATTGAGATCTGGGTCCTGCAAGGAGGGGCTGGGTGCCGGTGGGGGAGCGAGGAGCAGGCCTGGGCGTGTTCCCTCACAGCAGAGGCCTCTGAGGCGGGGGCAGGAAGGAAGGGCTGCCCAAGGGTTCCTTGTCCCCTGAGGATCCCACACACCCTCAGGGTGGGGCAGTGATTGTCGCCATTTGACAGATGAGTCTGTGTCCTTAACCCCTAAGATCTTCCCGTTAATGAATGAAATCATTCAGCCATCCTCTGGCACCCATCTCAGGGCTCTGGCGGCACAGCAGAGGATGTGAGTGCGCATCTGTGAGAGCTCTCAGCCTACTGGGGAGGTGACACTAGGGGAAGTTCCCGGCCCACCTTGGGCTTGGAAGATGAGTGGGCGTGAGCAGGGTGCGGGAGGGTGTTGCAGACAGTTTATGCCAGACCTGGAAGGGTGCAGGTGCAGAGGAGTTTGGGACCCACAAGAGATGTTGCTTTATTCCAAGGCCCCGGGGACCTGAAGCAGGGTTTAGAGTAGGGGTTTCTGCTGGGTGGGGGGCAGGCCCCCAGCATGGGAGCCAGCTGCCTAGGAGAGCCAGGGTAAGGAGAGGACCCTGCTGAGAGGGCAGCGTATAAGGGAGCAAGGGGCAGGGAGAGAGGCGGGGTTCTGCCACCACAGGGCCCTGTGACCTCAAGCAGTTTTCTGCCCTTTTGGGGCTGTAGTGTCTCCATCTGCAAAATGGATACAGCCCTGAGTCTTGAAGTCATGGGCAGGTAGGAGAGCTGGCAGGGGTGGTAGGGAAGGTGCAGCCTTTGACCAGCTGGACCTCCGGGAGGGCACTCAGGCCATAACCCTTTCTGTGACTCGCAGGTGTGAGCCCACATCCCTGCCCCCTGGGCCACGTGCAGGACGCTGGCTCCTGCCCCTCAGCAGACGCCGGAGAGAGATGAGTAGCAACAAAGTAAGTCCTTCTTCATTTCTTACTCCATCTCAGCCTCTTACTTCTCTCAGTGAGATGGGCTTCTCAGGACCAAGCCACCACAAGTCTCTCTTCCTTGCCTAGATGAGGCTGATGCCTGGGAGGCCCTGGTTTGAACCCTGCTGTACACTGATCTGTGTGGCTTTGGGCAAACTCCTGCCTTTCTGGGCCCAGGTCCAAGGTGGCTTGGAATGCTGTGCAGGGGTCGGGCTGGGAGGTAGAGGTGAGCGGGAGTCTGGAGGAGGGGGCAGAGGTCAGTCAAAGGTGACAGAATGTTGTGAGCATCCTTCTGAGGGTGTCCCCATCATCCACTCATTCATGCTTTCCTGAGCACCTGCTGTATGCCTGGCCCTGCACACCCCCTTCCGAGACCCACTGCAGCAGAGCCTTGGCAGAGCCTGAGGGTTGGGGGCAGGGTGATGTGGGCGTATCAGTCTGGGTCCAGTCGGCAGAGAGAACCCACATAGTAATTTGAACAGGGCAAGTTTAATGTAAAGAGTTATTAACTATAATCGGGCAGGAGTAATGAGGGATTGGAACTCTAAGGAATACAGGAGTAGCAGGTACAAGGAGCAGCCACCAGCCCCAGGGCTGAGGTCCAGGCCTCCTGGGGGGGCACAGCTATGGGCCGCTGGATGGCAGAGAACTGTGTGGTGCCCACTGGTGACGTTATCACAAGTCCACCCAGGAGGCACCCAGCCCCCGGACAGAACTGCTCCAGGGAGGGAGCTGCTGGTCTCTGGATGTTGCAGGTGGTGGGTGACTGATTGAGCTCCACTCTGGAGAGGTTGTGATCACAGCAGGATCAAAACTGCCTGAGGGCCCTCGCCGGGTTGGCTCAGTGGATAGGGTGTCAGCCTGCGGACTGAAGGGTCCTGGCTTCGATTCCGGTCAAGGGCACATGCCCAGGTTGTGGGCTCGATCCCCAATATGGGGTGTGCAGGAGGCAGCTGATCAATGATTCTCTCTCATAGTTGATGTTTCTATCTCTCTCCCTCTCTCTTCCTTCCTGAAATCAATAAAAATATATTTTTTTAAAAAACTGCCTGAGGGCAGGTACTGCAGGTTCTGGAGGAATCTGCTGGGTGCTGGCTTCCCAGCGGGCGTTGGGCGCTGGAGATAAGCATGTGCCTAAGAAGCCAGAGCATCAGAAGCAGGAAGTCAAGGCCTTTCTTCCTGCAGTGTCTCTCCAGCGTCCTCTACCGACAAAGCTTAATATGCAGTTAGCTGGCAGGAAAAAACCAAGAGCCCAGATCCATTCTCACAGAGCTGCCAAAAAGGGTGAACTTGGAGCTGAGAAACAATACACGGACAACCAGCACAGAGCGTTCCACAGGCTCAGCGCTCGGCACAGGGAACCGGGGCTCCACAGGCTCAGCGAGCCTTGCAGACCCGCACAGACGGCTTCCAGTGGGCGATTTGGATATGACTTTCCTGCCCTGTCACCCCCATGGTGGTGCACTCTCTACTCAGGCAGCCCAATCCCTGAGCAGATCCCCTCCAGGGGTAAAGGAATGATGAACATGTGTGGAGAGTTGCTGTGTGGGGAAGGCCTGGGTCCTCTCATTTGACTATCCCACCTGTCTCCCAGCATCCTCCCAGCTGGAGGAAGCCTTCTGACCCCCACATACAGTCCAATCCGGCAGACCCTCCTTCTGAGAACCTTCTATGCTCCGGCCCCCACCCTGACAGCTGGGAAACAGTGGGGAGCGAGACTGACCCAGTCCCAGCCGTGGAACTCATGGCAGCGTGATCGGTGCTCAGGGGGCTGCGGGAGGCCTTCCTGGAGGAGGTAGTGTTTGGGGTGAGGAGCAGGCGTTAGCCAGGTGTTGCAGGTGGTAATGAGGCAGGGCGCCAAGCCTGCACGGTCGCTGGGACCTCACCAGTCCTCTCCCCTCTCAGGAGCAGCGGTCAGCAGTGTTCGTGATCCTCTTTGCTCTCATCACCATCCTCATCCTCTACAGCTCCAACAGTGCCAACGAGGTCTTCCATTATGGCTCCCTGCGCGGCCGCAGTCGCAGGCCTATCAACCTCAAGAAGTGGAGCATCACCGATGGCTATGTCCCCATTCTGGGCAACAAGGTAGGGCAGCCACTTTGGGGAACTCCCTGGGAGCTGGTCCTCCCCATTGCCTGCCACCCCTGCTCCCTCCTCCTTTTCTCTCCTCTCGCCATCCCTCCTAAAGGAAAGGGTGGGCCCTGGGCGTCAAGGCTCTGGTTCAGAGAGGAAGGGAGAGGGAGAGAGAGAGAGATAGAAACAATGATGAGTGAAAATCATGGACCAGCTGCCACCTCCACACCCCCTACTGGGGATCGAGCCCGCAACCTGGATATGTGCCCTGACCGGGAATCGAACCATGACCTCCTGGTTTGTGGGTGGATGCTCAACCACTGAGCCACACCGGCCAGGCCAACCATGAGTTCTCGAAGGCAGGAGTCAGGTCTCTTTTGCTGGTTGCTCTGTCCTGCGTACTTGACCATTAGCCAGCTTGCTATGAACGTTTGTTGAATGAATGGGCGTCAGTTTCTCTGTCTTTAAAATGGGCATAATTATTTTGGAGCCCAGGGCCAGGCGCAGAGAGTGGTTGTGACAAGTGTTGACTTTCCTTGCTCCCCCAGACACTGCCCTCCCGGTGCCACCAGTGTGTGATTGTCACCAGCTCCAGCCACCTGCTGGGCACCAAGCTGGGTCCTGAGATTGAACGGGCCGAGTGCACAATCCGCATGAATGACGCGCCCACCACGGGCTACTCCGCAGATGTGGGCAACAAGACCACCTTCCGCGTGGTGGCCCATTCCAGTGTCTACCGTGTCCTGAAGAGGCCCCAGGAGTTTGTCAACCGGACCCCCGAAACCGTGTTCATCTTCTGGGGGCCCCCGAACAAGATGCAGAAGCCCCAGGGCAGCCTTGTGCGCATCATCCAGAGGGCAGGCCTGGTGTTCCCCAACATGGAGGCCTACGCCGTCTCTCCCGGCCGCATGCGCCAGTTTGATGACCTCTTCCGGGGTGAGACAGGCAAGGACAGGTACCAGCCTTCTGCCTGCCCACTCTGGCCAGCCCTCTGCTCTTCGTCAGCATGCTCTGTGCAGAGGGCCTGTCGCTCCCAGCAAGCACTGCTCTGAGGGTGTGGTCACTTCTCGGCCACCTCTGGTCAGGTTTCCTGGGGGAGTTCTCTTTGTGTTTAATCCAAGTCATTTCCAACATGCTCTGCATGACCCCATCTTCCCAGGAGGGCTTTCTCCCAGCACTCACTGCTCTGAGGGAAGAAGGGTTCCCAGCATGCTCTTCTCTAAGATTGCACAGTCATTTCTAGCATCTTTCTAGGAGAGCTCCCCGGAGCGTGCCTCCTGGAAAGTATTGGCTATTCCTGGCACTTCTTGCTTTAGGCACACCGTTGCTCCCAGCATGCTCTATTCTAAATATACATCATTTCCAGTCCTGCTTTAGGTAAGCTAGGCTAGTGCCATCCAATAGAAATATAATGCAAGCCACATACATAATTAAAATTTTTATAGTAACCACATTAAGAAGGTAAAAAGAAACAGGTGAAACTATTATTATTTTTTTTTGAGCCTCATCTGAGGATATTTTTTCCATTGATCTTTAGAGAGAGAGTGGAAGGGAGGGAGAAAGGGGAGAGAGAGGAAAAAACATCAATATGAGAGAGACACATTGAGTGGTTGCCTCCCGCACGCACCCCGACTGGGTCAGGGATCGAACCTGCAACCGAGATATATACCCTTGACCATGAATCAAACCCGAGACCCTTCAGTCCATGGGCCAACACTTTAACCACTGAGCAAACCAGCTGTGGCTGAAATTATTTTCAATATATTTTATTTAACTCAATATGTCCAACATATAGATCCTGTACATATTTTGTTTGATTTATACCTAAATATTTAAAATTTTGGAACTAACGTAAATGATATTTTTAAAAATGTTGGTTCCCAATTATTCTTGCTAATATTAGAAATATGATTTTTGTGTGGTGACCTTATCCTGTAATCCTGCTAAACTTTACTTATTGGACAGTTTTACTCCTTCCTTTCTAATCTGTGTGCCTCATTTCTTTTTCTTGCCTTATTGCATTGGCTAGGAACTTTCAGTACAACGTTGAAATGTATTGGAAGTGACAAGAGTAGACATCTTGCTTTAGTCCCAGTCTCAGAGGGAAAGCGTTTAGTCTTTCATCATTGAATATGAGGCTGGCTATGGGTTTTTGAACCTATATTCACCTCTTCCAGGGTGAGACAGGGAAGGACAGGTGCCAGCCAAGTATTAGGTTAAGGAAATTCCCTTTGCGTATTAGTTTCCTAAGAGTTTTTTTGTTGTTGTTGTTGTTGTTTTTTATCAGTACTGGATATTGAATTTTATCAAACATTGTTCTGCATCAATCAAGACTTTTAAAAAAAAGACTAATTTTTTTTTTAAGACTGTTAATATGGTGGACTATATTGATTGATTTTTAAATGTTGAGTTAGCCTTGGTTTCTGGAATAAACTCCAGCTGGTAGTGGTGTATTATTATTTTTACATATTGCTGGATAGGATTTGCTAATACTTTGTTGAGATTTTTGTATCTGCATACATGAGAGATATTGGTTTGTAGTTTATTTTGTACTATCTTTGCCTGATCTTGCTATCAGGGTAATGCTGACCTCATAAATGCATTGGGAAATGTTTCCTCTTCTGTTTTTCAGAAAAGATGGTGTAGAATTGGTGTCATTGCTTCTTTAAATGTTTGATAGAATTTGCCAGTGAGACTATCTGGCTTGGAGCAGTGTTTTGTTTTGTTTTTTCCCCCAGAAGATTTTAAACTATGAATTCAGTTTCCTTAATAGTTATAGGATATTCAGGTTACTTATTTCATCTTCGGTGAGTTTTGGTTTGTGTTTTCGAGAAATCAGCCCATGTCATCTAAGTCAGCGGTTCTCAACCTGTGGGTCGCGACCCCTGAAAATACATCCTGCATATCAGATATTTACATGACGATTCATAACAGTAGCAAAATTACAGTTATGAAGTAGCAACGAAAATAATTTTATGGTTGGGGTCACCACAACATGAGGAACTGTATTAAAGGGTCGCGGCATTAGGAAGGTTGAGAACCGCTGAAAGTTGTCACGTATGTAGTTGTTTTTTGTGGTTTTCTTATTATTTTAAAGTTTACAGGGTCTATGATGATGTTCTCTTTTATTTTGATATTGGTAATTTGTGTCTTTTCTCTCTTCTTTTTTGTCAGTCTTGTGAGAGGTTTATTTTCTTTTCAAAGAACCACCTTCAACCAAGTAGATGCAAAATATTTTTTAGCTTCACATGTAATCAGTATAAAACATCATCAGCAACACATTCCACATTCTTTTTTCACACTAAGAAATCCAGTGTGTGTTTTACACTCACAGCACATCTCAACCCCGAGTCAAGTGCTCACACGTGCCCACATGTGGCCACTGTAGTGGACAGCACGGCTCTAGGCCAGTGGTCGGCAAACTGCGGCTCGCGAGCCACATGCGGCTCTTTGGCCCCTTGAGTGTGGCTCTTCCACAAAATACCGACTAAGTGCACGCCCACACGTGGTATTTTGTGGAAGAGCCACACTCAAGGGGCCAAAGAGCCGCATGTGGCTCGCGAGCCGCAGTTTGCCGACCACGGCTCTAGGCTCTTAGCTACTTCTTCATGCCTTGCTCTGAACTTGTCCCTCCAGCATGACTGTCTCTGCTTCGTCTCCCCGTGGGAGTCTGCTCCTGGCATGGGCACAGCTGTGGCTAGCATGCTCTGTGGTCATGGGCACTCCTGGCCTACCCAGGCCTGACCAGTGTCCTCAGAAATGTATTCCCAGCCTGCCTTGTTCCTACTCTTTCCCTCAAAGGAGCTCTCTCCACACCCCTCACAGCCCCCCTGCCAGCAAACCCGTGCTCCCCCAGTGGGCTGTATGGGGGTGACTGAAGTAGGGGGATGAGTTCTGTGAAATTGGGTGGTTGGCTGTTCCTCCCTGCCCGCCCCACCCCTGCCTGCCTGCCCCTCATCACGCTCCCTCTCTGCCCCCAGGGAAAAGTCCCACTCGTGGTTGAGCACGGGCTGGTTCACCATGGTGATCGCGGTGGAGTTGTGTGACCATGTGCACGTCTATGGCATGGTCCCCCCCGACTACTGCAGGTGAGCCCCTCCAGGACAATGCTAGCCACTGCCATGGGATGGAGCCAGGGGCCCGAAACCTGGGCTGGGGGGCCTTTGAGATTCTCTGTTTGATGGTATTCGGGCTGCTCTGCAGAGATGTCGGCTCCTTAGAGCTGCCTCAGCGCCAACCCCCCCGCCCCCCACACACACACCTCAGCCAGTCCGGAGTTTGTGTATTAATATTAACTGTCATTATTATTATTATTACTATATGCAAAGCCCAAGAGGTGACAGCTGTTCTTGACTGAGTGCTGACCATGCCCCAAGCGTGACCATATTTATTATTCACTCGTCACAGTGATTCTAAGGGATAGGTATGTTATTCTCCCTATTTCATAGATGAGGAAAGTTGTTTTGTGAGTGGTCTCAGGTCTCACAAATAGTAAAGGGTGGGGGTCAAGTTCCAGAGCCCTTACCTCTACCCGGCTTTGCCACCCTCTCAGGGACATGAAAAGATCCACAGCATTAAAAACGAAGTTTGGAAGTCAAAAAACCTAGTCCACCCTATACCCATTTTACAGATGGGGAAACTGAGGCCCAGGGAGGGGCAGGTATTTCCCCACTAAGGTCGTACGGCAGGTCAGGGGCGGGAAAGGGCAAGGGCCCGCCAGTGCCCACCCTGCCCTCACAGACACCTCTGCTCTGCCCCAGCCAGCGGTCCCGCCTGCAGCGCATGCCCTACCACTACTATGAGCCCAAGGGGCCAGACGAGTGTGTCACCTACGTGCAGAATGAGCACAGCCGCAAGGGCAACCACCACCGCTTCATCACCGAGAAGAGGGTCTTTTCGTCCTGGGCCCAGCTGTACGGGATCACCTTCTCCCATCCCTCCTGGACCTAGGCCGCCCTGCCTGTGGGGCCCTCACCAGGGACACCGGAGAAGTGGCTCTTGGCCCAGCCACTCGACCAAGGGCCATCCCCTGGCCCATGAAGGCTGGCTGGAGTGTCTTCTGGCCAATCAGGGCCTCGAAGAGGGTGTGTCCTCCAGCCGGTCAGGGCCTGGGAGATCTCCTGGCCATCAGGGATTTGGGCTTCTGTGTGCTTAATCAGGGGTGTCAGGAAACGTGTCCAATCAGGGTCTGAGCATAGTCAATCAGGGTATTTCTGAGTAATAGGAGGCCAAGGACATGTCCTTTCCCATGAGGCCTTGGTTCAGAGCCTCAGGATGGTCCCCAAATCATTTCCTATTGGACAGTGGGGTCCTGTTCCAAGGACCTGGGAACTTGGTGTTGGCCCCTCACTTCCCGGAGCCAGAAAGAAAGGTTGCGTGAGGAGTGGGAGGTGAATGGAGGTCAGGCTGGGGCAATTGGGGGCTGGAAGGTCCCGGGGGTGGGGGCGGTGTCAGTCTTGGCTCTGCCCTGAGTGGCCTTGGACAATCCCTTGTCCCCCTTTCTGGCATCCTTCTGCCTGTGTCAGGTTCTAACGTGGAGTCTTCGACCCCCTCCCACCTCTCCCACTACTGCCTTGGGTCCGTCCTCCATAACACTGGGCCCCGCCAGCCACTACCCCTTGCTGGGGGTCTCAGCTCCCTAGGGCCTGGGGTCCCCTTCCCCACCTCTTCCTGGAGATGAGGGTATTTTTGTGCAAACTCTCCCCGGTGAGGCCGTCCACCTGTTGGAGGAGCCTTTGGGGCTGAGACAGGGGCGACTCCAGCCCAACTGAGGTTTCAAGCAGCCCCTTTGCCTGCAGCTGCTGGAGTCATCTGAGTCTCCCTCCAGCTGGGCCTG